TAACAGTAACTTTCATTAGACATTATGAAACAGGCCCAAAGTATTACAAACATAATTACAATACATTCAGATTTACTGATAGATATTAATAATTAATGAACATATACCAGAGCAACTTATAACAATTTTGATATGTGTTATACATAAAATTGAGCATGATACAAGGCACTTTAATATTTAACATTAACTAATCATAAATGAAGGTCCCGTTACAAGGGGCGCTAGTGTCTATGGAAATAGAATAATTATGGCGCAAGTCATTAGTCAGTCCTAAGTCTCACTAGCGCCATCTCGGGTTTGCAAACTCAAAAACTGTAATTGTTTTTTTACTGATAATAGACTTGTTAAGCGTAATCATACATACAAAGATATCACAAAGGTGCAATCTATTATCAACATCATAACATCAAAAGGACGGCCATATTTTTGAGCTATCGACACAATTAATAGTTGTCAGAAATAATTGACTGCCTCATTGGCCGAGTAGTCGCAAGTGCGACTGCCGGGCAAAGGGTCTTGGGTTCAATTCCCGGGTCACACAAAGAATTAGCACATTAAAAAAATCTCAGTAGAAGCACTGAGTCTGTAGGTAACTGTGCCCGATATATTGCAATAGGCTCACCCCCTATTACATGAGACTCGCACCATAAATAGTAAAAAATGGGTGTTACATTGTACAGTGGTATTAAGTGCCGTCATGTGCACCTCTGCCTACCTATCCGGGGTTAAAAAGGCGTGGTTTTACCAGAAATGATTGAATAAGAATAATATCACCAGTCACCACTTTTACTAGTAACAAACAAAGTAACGGTTTTTTTTTAAGGGGGGACTATCATCGAATGACTGCTTCCGCCTGTGTGAGGCGGGAGGGAGTGTCAGACTCTTACTGACTAAAAACCACCCCGTTCTTTCTCCTGCACGTCGAGCCGGAGCCCCGGTTACCCGTTAGGTTCTCCGCGACAAAGCTTACGGTTGGTGTGATAGTAAGCGGACACTATAGCCTAAGTAAAACAGTAGACGCATCACAAGTGCGTTGCCAACCGTTAGTGAAACTAAGCATTTTAATTAATACAACATACAGGAACATAGCTATTTATTATAATACAAACTAAAACTTCGCTTCAAGCTTCCTTGTGCGTACTGCTAAAGAGTGGAACTTTTTGCCAGAGTCTGTATTTCCTGAAGGGTATAACCTGGAAGTCTTCAAGGCCCGAGTGAATAGGTTGCTTATGGGACGACGTGCTCCATCGTAGACCGAATCATATCTTACCACCAGGCGAGATAGTGGACAAACGTCGCCCCAACAAATATTAAAAAAAAAAATATTATCTATACTATTGTATGTATCGATGTCAGATGACGTCACGCGTGCTATGCTAATTTGATTTCTTTTTAGATATAAGTATGTAAAACCAATACCTGATAAGTTTATCATTTTTATACCTAATATGTCTTTATGAGCCTTGAATGTACATTTATTTCATATTAAACACATTATATAAAATATTTTACCTTGAAAAATAAATACATGTTGGTCAACAACTACTGAAACCTTGATTTAGTAAACTATTTTAAATAAAAACATTACTAAATACAGATTATTAAAATATCAGAAGACTCGACAGCAAAACAAAAAGAAATTAATTGTTTATTCAAAAAATAATAATTCATACATTTCGCATTAAGTTCACGTTAGTCACAAGCTGTATTAAAACAGCTATATTTGAGTCTACATTTAAAAGAGAACTATTTCAAAAGATACGAGCATTTTTCAGTTTTTCTACAATCTAAGAGTCTTCTTCAACATTCCAAGTAATTGTACTAATATATTATCTAAGTGAAATTGTAAAGAAAATATCCCTTTGAATGAAACCGCCTTTGCAAAGGTTTTAAAGGTTTACAATTTTATACAATCAGATAATTTGTCTCCGTTAAGACTATGTTTATCACATTAATTCCTGCATTCAGTCCCAGCCTAAGGAAACTAAAGGAGTCACAAAGTATTGAACTAGTACTTACTAAGCTAACGTCGATACTAACCGTAGTCGTATCGTTAGCGTATCGTTATGACATGCAACTAACATTGTTAAATAAACGTCTTACACAGTCAGGTGCACTAAGTTCACTTCGTATTTCACATCAAATAAAAACATTTTATTCAATTGTTCCACACACATAGACTTTTGAAACCCAAAAATCTATCTATCACAAAAGTTGGTGCACATTCCTATTCTTAAGATAATAAAGAATTTTAAATTTTGAATTTGAATTCCTTATTTATAAATTCATATGGTAAGGAAAGAACAGCAAGATACCTACTCCTTCGCTATGGTGACTAGTTACTTTAAATATTTAAGGTCATATGTACATGCTTAAAGTACGACATCGTGTACAAAAAGGCTAACACTGATTGCACCTGCACTTGCACAGATATATAGTTTGTTCGAGGAACACTGCACCAGAAAAGTAAACTTACTGAGTATATTCAGTGATGGTAATCAATACTGGACATAACTTGTGTGCTTAGTTTGTCAGCGATAAACTCTACTATCGTGAAGACCAGCTCCCGTCTGCTCTCCATGCACCTCATAAGGATTCTGAACGCATTCATGTAGTCCACAGCATCCAGTCTCCGTAGATAGTTGAATACTATGAACAGCAGCTCGTTCAACCGCTCCTTCACTGTCTCCCATATTTGTCTTAATGAGACTACAGCTGTAATGTAATGATAGATTCAGATTAGTTTGATGGTTCAATCAGATTGTTGGCTTAATTTAATTAAAGTGCAACTGGCATCATGAGATATCTTCAATCTTGTAATGTTGTATGATTAACAATCTTTAAGTTGGGCGAAGTATAATTTTATAAAAATTTTGGTTTGGATGGAGTTTCAAGTTATGCTCAATGTCGAGATAAAGGCTCGCCCCTATTACATAGGGATCATAACTTCCTATCATATCCCCTTTGAGAAGTAAAAGTAAGCCTACTTTTTTATCAGATAAGCCATTGCTAAATAATGTCAAAAATAATCATTGTTTGTCTTTAAACAAAATATCCAATATTAAAACAACCAGTAACTCACTTGACACTCCAAATCCTGCAGCTCCTCCAATACCAGCTCCGAGCGCTGCACCAACTCTACCTCCAGCATACCCACCCATCACACCCCCAGCGACTGCCATCACTGTTGTCAACAGAGCCGCATTGCCGTCCCATACTATACGAATCTCAAAGGCATCAGCTGAAACATTATTTACCATGTGAAATGAGGATATTTTTTATGGGATAGAGTTAGAGTGGTAAACGGTATTAAGAAGTCAAAGTCAAAAGTGTGCGTTACCCAGGCCAGATATTGTCGAAAATGGTCTTTTGAATCTTATAGATAATTAGTTGGGCGGCTTCTGTAATTGTTGGGCACATTTTTAAATTGTTGCGCTTATAGTTTTTTAATTATTTCACAAAAACATTTCCTGCTGGGACAATGTTACCCCAGCCAGACCTTTTTCTTTCTAATGGGAATATTTAAATAATTACTAGCTATAAAATTAGTTGTCTAGATAAAATAAATGTTTGTAGTAAGTGAAGTAATGAATTTTGTATTGATTCTTTCATCGGTTGTGAAGTTATTCGAGATTCTGCTGGGGTAACGTTTTTGGATTGCATATATGAATTGAATGGTATGTCAATAATTAGTTGTTTAGTTAATTAATTAATTTTACTGCTGAGGTAACACCTCAGCAGGAAATGTTTTTGTGAAATAATTAAAAAACTATCTATAAGATTCAAATGATCATTTTCGACAAGATCTGGCCTGGGTTACGCACACAAGTCAAAATCATTTATTTCAATTAGACCAGGAAGGCACTTTTGAATGTCAACAACAAAAATGTAGTGCTAACAAGTGAAGCTAGTTGCACATTCCAAGGTGTAGATTCATTTGGAGAAGAACAAGCCAGAAACTCCATAGGTTACTCTTTTTCATAGTACATAGTTTTGTTAGTTCGATTGTGAGAGAACAATGGAACACCTAAATCCAGCCAAAAAGATTAAAAAAAAGTAACCTTCAGCAATCAAGAATTCAGTAACATTTGTAAATACTCGCAAAAACAGAGGACATACATATTATTCAGTACCCAATCGGGTAGGAGATGAAGTCGGTAAAAATTAAAGCTCTGGTACCGTTACTCAAACAGTGAAAGACAATGCAAGCATTATTTTACACCAGTGTTTTGTGAGGTTGTGATATCACTATGGTTGAGCTGGCCCATTAATACAGACACTTGGCTATTCCTTGTATGAGGAACTTCAATAATTGCATATCGAGGGGTAACGGACTATTTGGTTTAAGCGACATTTTGGGCGATATTGAGTTATATATATATATTCGGAATCAGCGATTTTTTCTCTGTCGAATATATATAATAACTCAAAATCGCCCAAAATGTCGCTTAACCCAAATAGTCCGTTACCCCTCGATATAATATTTGATAGCTAAACCTTCAGAGTATTAAACATGTTGGATGTACCAACTGATAAAACTCAAACATACAATCACAGGAAATATATTTTTGTATTGTGATTCAAAACTGCCTGTCTGGCAGATAATGTGTGCAAGCAGTTGTCCTTGCTAACAAAGAACTTCATAAAATTATTAAACCAGGTACATAAATGGCATAAGGTTACTCAATCTGAAAGTTGTTGTTGAATAGTAAATATTTTGAACAGAAAATGAATACTGCCACGTTGGGCTCGGGTTCGATTCCCGGGTCGGGCAAAGTATTACTGGGTTTTTAAAAAATTCTCAGTAGTAGCACAGAGTCTGGAATTGTGCCCGGTATATGGCAATAAGCTCACGCCCTATTACATGGGACTCATAACATAAATAGTGAAAAGTGGGTGTTACATTGTACAGTGGTAAATGTGCACCTCTGCCTACCCTTTCGGGGATGAAAGGCGTAATGTTATGTAGAAAATTAATAAAGGCAATTTATTACGCTAACAACCTGCTACTCATTCTTTACCTATTTATTTATAATAAAATATATTCAAGTAATCACACAATTAAGCAAGTATTTGGTCTGTGTTTTGGGTATAGTTATTCACATTTACATGCAGCCTAATAAGTACTATATTCCTTGATGCAGACATGGAATAGCATCGGTTTAGACTTTTTATGAAAACCTAAAATGATTCTACATGGGTAGTTACTATGTTTTAACATTTCTAGTTACATCCTACTTACTAAAAACTCAGGACCTCATGTTCAATGAAAAGGGTTGTAATCACAACATAGTGGTTAAAATTGTCCAACTAATAAGTTATGTTATAATATTTCACTGAGGTCAGGATGACAGAGTTTAAATGAATAAATAACAATATTGTTGTAACCATTGAGGACAGAAGTACTCTGTTTCTTTCTGGGTAATATATTTTGATAACCAAAGGTCGATGGTCATATTATTAAGTACCTTGCTCGAGTTATTTAATTATTCATTACATTTACCATTTACAAATAATTCTTGATTCTTGAAACTACCATAAAAACTTAATTTGTATAATATTAGTAGCTACTACTACAAATGACGTGTGCTATTGATCCTTAACCTTTGAAAATAGTACATATTTCTAATATTACAGAAAATATAAATGAGTTACTTACAAATTTGCAGTAGAATTTGTTCTATCCAAACTCGGTCAAATCTCACTTGACGGCCGTCGAAGTTTTGCACTTGCATGTCCATTTTAAATATTTTTATATTATATCTGCGTACACTGGTTAGTTTTGCTGAATGAATTATTCAGACGGACCAAAATATAACTTTTGGCAAGTAAACAAAAATATTCTAATTTCTATCCAAACGTCACTTGTATTTTGACGTAAACGGAATTTAAAAAGTAATGTGGCAACGTTTTGTTCTTGTTCCCAAGTGTCCTAAATCCCGTCGCAACGTTTCAG